GCTAAATATGGTGAGGACGACCCCAAAAGGCGATGCCGTATTATCAATCGCTTGAACTGTTTCGTCAGATCTTGAAACAATATTGTTTCTGTCAATATTGCCTGTAGATGCGTTACCGTACCGACAGCATCCAATCCACGCAGCCTGAGCCCCCGGAGAAAGCATCTCTGTACCGTCGAGAAAGGGAGAACGAAAACGACTTCCAGCCCCGCAGGTAGTCAAGGCGCCATTTCTGTATTTTTTTTGGGGGGGGTTAATGGACAAAATAATGTCCAATGCCGTTTCAACTTTATATTGTGCGATATAACTGGCAAAAAAATACATATACAGTCCTTCATTTGGTTTCTTCCAGCCTTTCGGACTTGGACAGTGACACTATGGAATGCGGTAAATATAAATGGAGCAAACTTTCCACCATCGTATCTGCCAATCTTTCGACCTAAATCCCCTCCCGAATCCATCCTTAGAGGAGGGAGTGAAGCGCGGCCCATCTTCTGTCCACTCGTCTTCCTCGTCCCATCAATCAGAAGTGATGGACACTTACGACATGGAGCAAGTCAACAATATCTTCAGGAAATTTTCTCTGGAAAAGTACGTGACGCACATAGGCACGTTGTTGCAAGTTCACAGAGTTGTTCTAGCGTTCATGTTGATTTGTGTGCGTAGGCCGTTTCGTCCGTCTCTGTCCTCCTTGTCGAGTATCAACTCGATTCTGAAGCCTGTACAGGAGTTTACATTATTAAGCGAAAATCTGCTGAAGGAGATCACTCTTGTTGGCGGCAACGACAGCGGGATTTTCATCTCGTCCGTCCAGCCGGGCTCTGTTGCAGAGAAGACTGGTTTGCGAGAGGGTCACCGCCTCTTGTTGGTGAGATCTAATTCCCCTTTACTTATCCATCCAATAAAAATGTATACTTACATCACAGTGGCGCTTTTTTTTTTTGTCTCTTGCGATATGACTGGCTTATCAGCTTGAGGGGCGCATACGAGGCGAGAACCAGAGGATGCCGTTGGAAACCAGCACCCAGGAGGAAGCCCTCTGGGTGCTGAAGCACTGCTCTGGACTGATCAGGCTGCACTACCGAGCCAACTTTGACGGTAAGTTTGTGACCTTCTCGGAGTGAACGGTTTTCATCTTTGAATCGCATTGCTGTATGTGCACGCCAGCTTACCGACGTTTTCAGAGGGACCTCGAAGAAGGCACGCGGGTTTCCGGAGACTCCTTCTACATCCGGGTGAACCTCAACATCTCCAGCCAGTTAGACTTCTGCTCGCTGAGCGTGCAATGTGATGAGGTGGTCCACGTTTTGGACACGAAGCACCAAGGCCAATGTGAGTGGCTGTGTGTCCGCGTTGACCCCTACAGCGGCTGTGACCTGCTGGAACGTGGGACTCTGCCGAGCAACTCACGGTATGAGAAACTATCTGTACTTCTACTTACCCCAAATACAGACCGGTTTCCACCTGTTGTAACCTGTAGAAGTATTCACAGTCAGGAAGATTACAAAGTTGCCAATAGCACACATCGCTGATTTTACATCTAATTTACGCAATGTGTTGGCAAGATCTCACTGAAACTATTCGTGTGTGTGTGTGTGTGTGTGTGTGTGTGTGTGTGTGTGTGCGTGTGTGTGTTTAACAGGGCTCAGCAGCTCCTCCTCGTAAAGATACAGAAGTTGATGTGTCGAGGGAGCAAAGAAGAAAATGAAATGCAGCGCAACATGAGGGTAGATATATTTTCACAAGTATGAATTCTTCTTAAGCTTTATTTTACTTTTATAGAGAAGATGGAGTCAAGGTACAATCATGACATATATAGACAGACGCTGCGTACATCCTGTCAATAACTGCTTGCACTCAAATAAGTGGACATATTCCATATGTAGAACAATTTGCAGCCAGAGGAAGGCAGCCCCTCTTCTGACCCCAAAACCAGCCCACGCATGTCGAGAGCCAGCATCTTCCTCACCCAGATTCTGCAGGTGACGAAGCATGAATCCTGTATCATCAGCGTCGACATGCAGAAAGACGAAAGGACTGAAATGAAATTCATAAAGACTGTCATGTGTTGGTGCTTTTGTAGCTCGTCAGCAGGGCGGATACCAAATACAAGCGACTGAACAGTAACGAGCGTGTGAGGATCATCACCTCCAGTAGTACGACACTCCCCGGGCAAGGCTTTGACACGCTCAGAGCAGAAGGTGAGAAAAAAAAGTGATCCAAAGGGGAGCCGAATGTCAACTGTGACAGCTTTCCTGGGACATTTACAGTTTTGTCAATGCGGCTTTTTTTTTTTTTTTTGTCAAACCCTTTCATGCACGCTGTAACCTGATCACATGATAAGCTGTCCACGGTAGTAAACGCTGTCCCTGAAAGGGTTAACATTCGTCTCAAGCTTTCAGAGCAGTTCATTTAACGAGCACTGTGGAAGTTAGCGCTTGTTGTCGTTTCGGCTGATGATTAATTGTGAGAGTCCTGCAGGAGGTAGAGAATGTGTCCGTACTGTCGAAAATCCAGTAAGAAAGTGCTGTGAGCCTTGAACAAAAGGGCCTGTGAGTCACATGAAACATTTGAAGGTGCACCACAATTAAACTCCCACACGTAAGACGACCGTTGTGCAAGGTTTTGGAATCAAAGGTTCAGCCTCAGGTTTTGCACTTCTGGGACCTGAAGCAACATAGTTTCACCGTGACAGATTTCTCCTTAACATCAGAAGTAAACAAGAATTCATTTTAATCATAAATCGGGGGGATTTCTGCCAGTAGTCACCCCCAAAATAATCTGTGGAGAATAATCCTTCTTCTTTTATATCAATCTGTATTCTCTGTGCCGTCTTTGGTGCAAGCAGACGCCGCTGATCCTGAACGGGAGATAAGCAAGAGTTTGAACCTGACCCCATACAGCCATGTCACCCCTCAATGGACCGAGAGGAGAAGACCGGTCCTCTTCGCACCGACTGCTTTAGCCAAAGTACTTTCACAGAAATTAGTTAACATGGTGGGTGCCATGGACTTCAGTGTGTGCAAACCAGGTCAGTCTGCATACTTTTGAGGTGTGAGCGGATTCATAATGTGTTCGCACGCTACAATCATTGACACAGTTAATTGTAAAAAGGGCCGCCAAACGTAATAGCAGTCATCACTCTCGTCTCTGTTAGTGCTGAAAAGTCAGTTGACTGCTGTCACATATTTGCTCGGATGTCTCAAGATAGAAACATCACCGCTTTCTGTTCCTCCTGATCGTGTCAGATGTCTTGGTTATACAGCCAACATTTGCTCAATCATTCACAGGAATTTCCCTTTGCATGCATTATCCTCTTCTGTTTTTTCTTTTTGTAGACATTTTATCCAAAGAGGAGTCGAATCAGAAACTGGGTGCAGAGTCCTTTGTTTACTGCAAAGAAAAAGGTGCCTCTTTTGAATTCATCACCAAAGAGAGCATCGAGGCCGTCGCTGCCAAGGTTCCTTGCACAGCCAATCATGACCAGATTTTCTTACTTGTGCTTGAACTTGTGTGACTTAATGCCTATTTGCATATTCTTTCCTTTCTCACTGTCGCCAGGGCAAACATTGCCTACTGCAAGCTGACCTGAGCTGCGTCAAAAACCTCTTGAGGGTGGAAATTTACCCAATCATCATCTTTGTCAAGATCTGTGAAAAAAATGTCAAGAAGCTGAGGTAGGCTTTTGTGTATGCATGTGCATGCAAAAGAGAAAGGGTCTTAAATGTTGATACAGTATCTATGCTTGTTATCGGTACAATTTCTGCACAAACAAGCACACACACCTTTATTGTAGGTTCTCATCAGACAAAGTAGGTGTATAACTTTACAACACTTACCACAACTGAGTTGTTTCCTTCCTGTTTCCTGTCCACACACAGAAAGTTACCGCTGCGCCTGGAGTCGGAGGAGGAGTTTCTGAGGTCAAGCAGGGCTAAAGAGAAGGAGCTGGAGGGTATTCCTTGCCTCTACAGCAGCCTGGAGCCAGAGGCCTGGCTCGGGACGGATGACCTCATCAGGGTGGTCAAAGAGCGAATATTTGAGGAGCAGAAGAAGACTGTGTGGGTGGAGCAGGATCTCCTGTAGACACCGTGGGCTGTACATGAAAAGAAACATATTGTAGAACCACAATACAAAAACAGCGTTAAAATTATACATGTACATGCTCAGTATTTAATACTAAAACAATAAACTTTATCTTTTGTAAAGCTGTGCCTTGCATTATTTTGAAAACGGAACACACAACAACTTTCTATACGGAGCCATTTGATAGAACTACACTGCCCTCTAGTGACCAATGTGATAAGTACAACATCAAAATGTTATTTTGTGCTTTCAAATAATGCTGCCAAAGCCCTTGCTGAAGTAAGAAAGGAGGGGTTGTACAGACTGGTCAGTTTTTCGACTTTCTACTCCACACTGACAAAACTATTATAACGGCATGATGGTCACCCGTTTAGTATAACCCGAAATCTTGACTCAAGTGAAGATCAACATACTTTACAATATTGTGGGTCACGTTTCGCAAACATCACCGCAGCGCCTGTGCAATGTTTCTTTGAGCGAAGCCGTATTTGCATACGAATGTTGTCAGCGATTCTCTAACTGCAATTTGCATAAAAAGTCAATCTGAAACTCTTTCTGAATAAGCTCCAAAACGGTTTGTTAAAAATGGGACACAAGAGGATTTGGGGTCGATAATCTCATCTCCAAAGGACGGGCAGCAGAAATGATGATGAATTTGGGTTTAATCAATTTTAATGCGTATTTTATCAGTTACTCTCACTGCAACCCATGCGGATGGTTAATATTGCTTTTAATTTATTCATGCATTCAGCCACGGTAGTCCCATGGTTATTCAGCGGAGTAAATACTGTGATTTACCGTGCCGCAGTGCTTCACGATCGCGTGTATGTGTGCGCGAGCGCTGGTGCGTGTGTGTGTGCGCGTGCCCTTTCGTGCTTGCGTAAATTTACTTACCCAAGGTTTGGTCATTTTTGGTATGTATTGTTTGATGGATGGATGAGATTTCTGGGAAACAAACACCTAAAAACACACTTATTTTTTTGCCTCGATTCACTTTGGAGAAAAAAATGCACTCAATTACAACTTAGTCATATCGCCATGCAAAACAAACGTGACTCCCCAATTCACTAATTATTTGAAAAAAAAAGTTTTGAAAACAAAAAAGATTATTGGTACTCAATGTTCCTGCATATTTGTCATATGGACGTTATTCCAGCAGTGGACAACAAGTGCAGCTATCTGTGGACCAGACAATTATTTACAATTGAATGAAACTCAATGAGAGCATTATTCTAATCCCTGTCGTTTAATTCCATCATCGAAACCATGTACACCATGTTGGAGAGAATGGCTTTTAAAGTTGTCCACTACAGTCACCGCGTTGCACCATATTTGTGTTTTCCTTTAATGTGCAAAGCGGACGCACTTCGTTAGCTAGACCGACACCGTGCAGTCGACTGTCGCGTTAAGATGGAATCGACACAGAAAGGTACAAGTCTCGAGCTAAACTGTCGCGATACTTGGAGAAATCTCGCTTGATCTCGAAGGGAGGGAAGCAGCGGATCGAAGACCTGCTGGCATCACAGCTGATGACGCGGGGCAGACAGCCTCCCCCAAAGAGGTAAAAAGCTTCTGTTTCTCATCGCTCATAGTTCATATTAGCGTCGCCAAATCTTAAAAGAAACGCTGGATACATTTATTGCATGCTAGAGACTACTTTGGCATTAAATACAGCGAGAGAGGGCGATACCGTAGGAAGACACACTGTTTTCCTCGGCTACCTTGAAATATTATCTCCAGGATTTCGGCTGAAACATCTCCACGCGAGACTTTTTCTTCCAAGAGACGAGCGTCATATGTGAGGAAGAGCCGGTTCCCCTGGCTCGAACCCTCGGTTAAAGGCGATATTGTAGTCCATTGGCCAGAGGTGATACCGATAGCGGTACCGGTACTACAATATTTAGGTGGACAAATCCCAGTTGTGATGATTATAATTTTTATACCTATACATCCCCATTTTATCAACAGCCCGGTTGTCAAAACCATTTTTTGATGCTGGTGGATGTCCTGGATTTGGCCTCAAGGTCAAGTTATAAATAGTTGATAATATTATGTTTGGTATTATTTTGAAGGACATATTCGAAGCTTTAATTTAAATAATTTGTGAAGCTCTTTGTCAAGTATATAAGTCGCTGGAGCTTGTCAAATTCAAACCACCAAAAAAAAAATAAAAAAAATTTAAAACTAACACATCTGTGACCTGGTACCAAATGGGCTGGCCAAGGACTGTTGGTTGGGAAACACTGACTTAGGCTATTTACACTTTTTAAGTATTCGCTATGAATGTTTTATAAATCCGTCCTAACAGACATCGGTGTGGATAGCAATGAAGCTTTGCAATTGAATTCCATCTTTTGTGCTGTATAACATATACAATTCGAAAATTAAAAGGTAACGTGAAACTGAATGAGTTTGGTTTGAAAGAATCCGCCCCAGAACCTCATCAAATGCTTTTGGAGATTGTATAGTCCTCTGTCAGGTTCAACAATAGTCTGCTAACCTCACCAATGACACAACATTCCCACAGAGCTACTCCAAAAGCCTTCACGGGAGAATGGAAACCACTCTGTATTTTCTTCCATTTCCCTTTCCTGTAGGTGTACACATATGCTGTATTTGTCCATTCACTCTATGAAATTCTGTCGTACAAAATGGAAATAGTGAGGCACAGACTGGTGCAGGATTTGTTTCCAAAACAAGTTGTAAAATCAGTAGTCCTGAGTTTTGCAGTGGGATTAAGTAACTGGGCACAGAGCAACGTCCTCCCCGAAACAGCTTTGCACATGAATCTTTTGGCTCAGAGTAAGATTAGAAAGCCAGTTGAGGTCGTGAAGAGAAAGGCATTCATATTTGCTTCTTGTGTGGTGTCGCGTTGAGAGGAGTGTGAGGCGAGGAGCGACGGTGTGATGAATTTCCAGGTCAAGGCAGCCCTCTTCGGGGGACAGGAAATAAAGTGACGACTTTAGCGCGTGAGGTCCACATTTAGAAGGAAAAGTGACGCTCTGTGACCAAAGCGCTGCACATGAAGAGGCGGACAAACTGGTGGAAGGAATCTAACCCAACGGTCCGAAACACAGGTTGCTTAGCTCGTCAAAGCACAATGAAGAAAATACTGTTTTGGGCTTATTTTAGTTTTTAAACTCTTTTACGCAGGTAGCAATTTTTTTCTGCAGGGAAAATCATATCAGACTGGAATGTGTATGGTATGCAGCACTTCCTTTCACAACTATGTGATTTTTTTTTTCTTCCCCAACTGCCTGTGTCAAATTTAAGTGTGTGCCTTGTAAAATAATGTGCCAAATGAAGAACTGTATCTGCTTTCTTTTTGCAAATTCTGAGAATAATCACTTGGTACCATTTCAATGCCAAGTCCAAGTGTCATGCTTACGTGTCGGATTTAAAATGGAGTGGCGGCTGCACGGATTCGTTCCCCTCACATTGCAATGTTTTGGTTGTCTCTTTGCAGTTGCCCGAATGGAGCGGAGGTGAGAATTTCACCCATGGATGCGTCCTGCACGGAGACATGATAAGCACGGGCTCAGTTATAGCTGCCGCCTATCTATCGCCATGGTGAGAGAAGCCCTTGGCTGTTGCCATGGAGACCCCATAGCAAGAGCTCTATAACCAAGATCTGTTTCCTTGGTGACCCCATAAAAAGAGCCAGGTAACTATTTCAATCTGTTGCCATGGTGTCGCTGTAACGGGGCCAAAACGAGGTCGATGATGAAGATGATGATGATGATGATGATGAGCCGTTAGGTGGCAAGGCACATTTTGCGCACCACTTTGTCACGATGGGAACATCCAGGATGTTTCACATTTTTGTCGTCCTGGGCTCCGCCTTCATGATCCTTTTAATCATCCTCTACTGGAAGGAAGTTGGAGCGTCGCATCAGTTTTTGCACACCCCCGTCTCACCCGGACCCAAAATGACAAAACCTGCTCAACAGCAGCAGCAACAGCAGCAGAAGCCTCAACCTCCCCAATCCCCGTCCTTCCTCTCCGACATCGATGCCTTTGTCAACCAGTTCTTAGAGCCTGGAACTGGCGAACCCACTGACCAGGTGCCCGCCGAAGCAAGCAACCAATCAGAGAAGGCAGAAGAGCGATATGTTCCGAGGCAGGAGTGGAAGATTCATTTGACTCCGGTGGCGGCAGAGCTTCGCCAGAGACAGGTCAATATAATTCGTAATAAAAGTAGTAAAAGTAGAAATTGTAGCGGAAAAATTGATTTGGATGTCATGGGGCCCTCCAAAATTGTTTTTTAAAAACTGGTAAAGGATGCTTCTTATTATCACTACATTAATAGCAATTATGGCACCTTGGTCCAATATCTTTTTACGTCTTTATGATTAGTTGTATTCGGTGTCGGCTTAAAAAAAAAAAAAAGGACTCCTCTTTTAATTTATTGATGCATTTGCCTTTCAAATGGAATCAACAGGAGAACCGGCAGAAGTTACTTAAAGATCTGTGCGCCAATGACAGCCTGGAGTTCCCCGGCAAAAACCGCTCATTTGACGACATTCCCAACAAGGAGCTGGATCATCTCATAGTCGATGACAGGCACGGTGTTATCTACTGCTACGTGCCAAAGGTACATTTATATTTTTACTCTTCCACTCGGTTACACACAGGAACAAATCCAAAAGTTGTTCAATTTGTAGCCGAACCCACATTTTCGAGTTTTACCCTTTCATGGATTGTGTTTGACTTTGGGGGTTCCACCGTGATTTGCCTCTGGGACAGATGCGCACAATCGGCAATTATTTTTGCATTAGAGCAGCTTGTATTTTTTCTGTGATCATTGACCAGAATTTCAGGCTAACCGTTTATGTTCCCCGTAGGTGGCTTGTACCAATTGGAAGCGAATCATGATCGTTCTCAGCGAGAGCCTGCTCCGCGACGGCGTACCCCAAAGGGACCCGATGGCCATCCCCAGGGAGCTGGCTCACAACGCCAGCATGCATTTCACCTTCAACAAGTTTTGGAAGCGCTACGGCAAATTTGCAAGGCACCTCATGAAGGTCTGTTGAATATTTTTTTTCCCTCATTTTTTTTTTCTTCTTTTTTTGTTAGTGCTTTTGGATTGGGACTCCAGCTAAAGTATTTCATTTACTATCTAGACTTAATTAATTCCATTTAGAGATGACACTTGTCAAGATGCTTTTTTTTTCCCTAGCGCGACTAAACTCGTGGGTTCAAATCAGATTTTAGCATAATTTACATGTGCTCTCTTTTCTTGCGTTGATTTTCTGCAGAAACTCTGGCTTCCTTATTCGAGTGTGTGTTATTCTCGAGAAATGACAGTCACGGTTCGCAAAATGTTGAAAAAGTCGCAAGTGTATTTGAATGCTTTGTTGTTTCATTCGTTCTGAAAGCAATCTGAGCATGACGTTATCATTTTAACACGTTTTCAGTGTCTTCATGAATCGCTCGAAATGTCCCTTCACAAACGTGACGTGCTGCTTTTGTTTTGAAGGTCAAACTGAAGAAGTACACAAAGTTCCTTTTTGTGCGGGACCCATTCGTGCGTCTCATATCCGCCTACCGGGATAAATTTGAGCTGCGCAACGAGGACTTTTACCGCCGCTTTGCTAAAGTCATGCTGCGGCGCTACGCCAACCAGTCGACGCCCCCCGACTCTGTGGATGAGGCGTTTGCCATGGGGGTTCACCCTTCCTTCTCTCATTTCACCCAGTATCTACTGGACCCTCAGACGGAGAAGTACGGTCCCTTTAATGAGCACTGGCAGCAGGTGTACCGCCTGTGTCACCCGTGCCAGATCCAATATGACTTTGTGGGCCACTTGGAGACGGCCGAGGAAGACGCTGAGCATTTGCTACGCCTGCTGCGCGTGGACAATGTGGTGGAGTTTCCTACCTCGCACAGGAATCTGACAGCCAGCGACTCGGAATCAGACTGGTTCAGCACGGTGCCGCTGGAGGTGCGGAGGGAACTTTACAAGCTGTATGAACCCGACTTCAGGCTTTTTGGTTACGATAGACCACACTCTATCCTCAATGAGTGACTCTGACGCAACTTGACAAGCTGGAAGATGTGTTTTCTTGAAAGTCCCTGTAAAGTGAAAAAAATCCATTTGAGCTCTACGTTTGACACGCCGCAGAGAAGAGTTTTGCTCACCGCGCAAAAAATATGAACGATTAAAACAAAATCTCAAAATACATCACAACCATACTGCAGCGAGCAAGCTAACCGCATGTCACAGTTGTGCCGCTTAACTACTAATGCGAACGATGGTGCTGAAGTTATCACTGGGCACTTTTTTTTAGCCACGCTGAAATAAATCGGAAAAAAACGCAATGTCAAAAAACAATTCGACTGTCTGGCTCCAAATTTACGTGCCACTCCGTTGTCAGTCTTTGCACATGTTTTCAGAAATGATCTTCAAACGTGTCTAATCGGAGACACATCTCGAAATTCACTTCACAGGGTCTTTGACGAACACCTTTTTTCCAATTTCACTCTGAGAATAATATTTGGCACCTGCTGCTATCGGAAGCACAAAAGTGAGCCGGAGAAAAATGTGAATGGACAATTAATTTGAAGATTTTATAATGCCACAAAGCACACAAATGAGTGCGACGCAGTCGGCTCAACAGAAGGTGTCTTGTGTCATTTCGCGCCTCCAGAGAGCTCCCTCCTCCGGCATTTTCCACTCCCAGCTCAGATGTCACGTTTGATTGGCCGCTCGCACTTAACATGTGACTTACCCAACGCCGGCTTTGTAGCAGGAGGCCGCTCGTTTGGCCAATCTGACACATTTTTAATGCTGCCGCATGCCACTGACATTTATTTCATATTGTGCAATGTTTTCTTGAAATCCTCCTTTTTTTTTTTTTTTGGAAAGCATGACTGTAGGGCAATATCATGATCAAGTGAATTGGCCTTCAGCTTGGAGACCTAATTTCAATACAACATGAAGTGACATCATCAATTTTTGGCTTTATTATTATTATTTTTTTGCTTGGTTTGGCCACGTTCAAAGCATGATATCAATTGCATTGTAGCATCATCATATTAAAAGTGCAGCAACGCCTATGAAATATTAGCCGGCTAGTAGGACTCATCTCGGCTTGTCTTTGAGACTTGAACTGGACTTTAAACATTCTTTAAACTTCAACTCGATGCAGGAACAGGTAAACACCTGGCTGTATTTTACAAAGGGAACATTTTGTGTGAGTACTTGTCACCGCCGCCCCTGTGTTTGTCACGTTTGTGTGCTCGCGGGTAACACGGCGTTGTTTATCCACACCAGAGGCTGCAACCAAACCCAAGAGTTGTAACACTTCTCAGTTGGTGGTTATAAAGGCTTGATTGAGCGTGAATATGAATCATTCTTGATGATATGAGTGGGATGTAAGATAGTGCCTTTGGTTGCAAATGTTTATACAGCAAAAAAAATCTATTTTTTATAGATTCTTACTTTGAACCGCATACAGCTGTGTGATGCCACATGTCTGTTTGATATTCTGGGCCTTGTCTTTTTTTTTTTTTTTTTTTTTGTGAATCAGTTGTGAGTCAGTGGAAAGCCTTCAGCTGAGATGTCTAACTTGTCTTGGACCTTGTGCGATGGATCGTGATGTGCAACCAGTGATCTCGATGCGGGATGTGCGTTTTGTACTGTTGATGGTGTCATGAACGCATCGTATTCTAATTTTATGTTCAGAGTCGCAGGACATGTCTCAAATAACGCCTTTTTTTTTTTTTAATATACAGTGTAAACTATTTTTTAGGGATGTTGTATCAGTTTTCCAGTGCACAGTGTCATGTTATCCCAAATGAATTTTTATTGACAATGACATGAGAAGAAAAATAAAATTAGGACTGCAGATATCACATTGCCCTTTGTTTACACCCCTCATCTTAATCCAATCAAGTCGACAACAGTCAGTTTTTGGAACCGAAACGGTGCCATCGTTCCTTGTGGTTAATACCGACCCAGGCAGGCAGCCTTCTCGGCCAAGTCGCTCTACATCTCACACCTGAGACTTGCCTGCTCATCACTCACCTGTAGCTCATCAGCTTGATAAGTTGGCTCCCTAATGAGTCTGCGGTGCACCTGCAGTGACCTCTGGTAGGCATCTTGTCAAGCGTTTGCGTCCCGTGTGGAGTGTCCTCTTCCTGCGGAGTCTTCGTGTTCTTCCCCCTTGTACTTTAAGTGAGTTTTAGTTTGGATTTTTCCTGTAGTGGACTTCAGTTTGAAACTTAGAGCCTTAAAGAACCAATCGACCTTTTCCAAGGTTGAAGCATTACAGTCGTTTTTTTTTTTTTTTCTGTGTTTATTCCTCACTTTCCTGAGTTGACTTTGCAAAGGATATACAGTAATAAATTCCGCCAAGTTTTTGGCCAACGCTATTCCTGTTTCCTGTTGTGTATTTGGGATCATATACAAACCTTAAAAGAAGCGAGCGGAAACAAATTTCCATCTTAGAGCCCAGAGGATTAAGTTAAAGAGTAATTCGTTTATTTTTATGTTTTCTGGTTACAATGTTGATTGCGGATGCCATTCTGCCTAAAAAAAAAAAAAAAAAAATCTTTATTCCCCGCCCCCTCTCCTCCTCACTCTGAGCTTGCTTTGATGAGGTGTCCATTGAAGGTGACATAAATATCTACGTCATCGCTGTAAATGGCATTTTCCCTTTCCCGCTTATACAGGCGGACCCACACCTCGTCGTTGACGTTCAAGTCCAGCATCAGGCTCTGGCTCTGCATGATGGAGCGGTCGCTGGGCTGAGCGTACACTATCGCCTGCTCGGCTTCATTGCGCATGATGTGCAGGTAGGTCTCCTTGAAGTTCCACGTGTGGATATTGACGTTGAAGAAATAGATCCCGGGTGTGTGGCAGACGAATTTCCCGCTGAACATGTTGAAGTGGTTGTCGAGGTTCACGAAAACGGTGTCGAATATCAGCGCCTGGTAGGCCTCCAGGCTGTGGAGGGACTTGCGACGGCCCACGGAAAAAGCGGCGTGCTGGACTTTGCAAGGGTCTCCGGGGAGACCGGCCTGGCCCTTGGAGCCTTTTGAGCCCATGGGTCCGATGGCTCCCGGAGGGCCTTCCGGTCCAGTTTTACCTGGTGTCCCTCTTTCACCACGGTCTCCTTTATCACCTGAATGACGTAAAAAAATAAATAAAATACTGCTTAGATGTTATCATAAAGGTGTTTGTTGTAAGCCAATGGAAAATAAATTACATAAAAATCGAGACTTTGAAATGTCAACGTTATTAGGGGTGGAAACGAGGTTCTGCTGGTGTACCTTTAAGGATGGTCATGTTGATGTAGGCGCGGACCTGGGGCACCTGGTTGTATCCTCCTGCCGCGGGCGGGGCCGCGCTGTCCTCCGCTGGTTGCAGGTCATCGCAGCAGCGCTTGCAGGGCACAGGGGAGCCTGTGGGAGGGGCTGCCTGTGTCACCAGGTGAACAAAGGACAGGCTGAGGAGGACGCCCAACATTGCGCCTGCACCTACGGGCAGATGAAACCGATGAATCGTCCATCGGGTGACCGGTCCGTTTGCTGATTTTATTTTGGGGGGGGCAAGGAATTGAGTTGACAAGCTTCATATTGTGCTTTGCCGCCACTTCGTGGCATCTTTCAGCACATTTGACCTATTATCCAGTCATCTGTTTGCTTAACCGCTTTGTCATCACTCGGGTCACGGGTAAGCTGGAAGCTTCCTGATCCTGCGATGTTCCCACCAGTCAAAAAGAGTCTTGGGCACAAGTCCAGCCGAAAACGGGAATTCCCCAAGAACAAGCGGCAACAGGATTCCGACATGGTGTCGAACTAACATGGGAAATTTGTAGCAGGGTATTAGTCGGTCAGCTGGCCATGTAATCACTGTGGAATTTCTTTTTTTCTTTTGCTGCTTTGTGATACAAAAAAAAAAATAAAAACTACACAAGGCAGAAAGATGTCCTTGCAGCTGTGCAAATCGGGGTTACGTGGTTCAGCCACGTGCGCTTTAAAACTTGCTCTTGGACAAATATTGGAGAAATTCAAAACAAATTAAGAGCTGGCAAATAAATCCCACCATAGGATGATCAAGCACTCTGCTAGCGGGCTTTAATTCATCTGGTTGATGACCCAAAGTGTGTTTCTTTCATCCAGAGCAGGCAGCCAAGCAGAGTTCTGTTTCAAAGGAAAAGTTGTGGCTCCCAAGCCTGAGCGACGAGCCAACAAGAAGTGGGACACCGTGTCTTGCATTATATGTTAAATAGAAATGCAACTGTGAGGAAACGGCCGGCGCAGATTTAAAATCATATACCGTGCTAGAAATACACATTTTGATGTACACAGGGAACATGCAGTGATTGGGAGGGGGGGAGTCAGGGTATTTTGCATGATTTGTTTGTGCAAATTCCTGCACCAAGTTGCTCTTTTACTGTACTACAGCATGTGTGTGACATAGCACAAATTGCACATTGTGTGTTCGCTCAGCCCTGTGGAGGTATGGAAATGCCTTTTCATGTGCTTTCATTCCAAACTGTTTCGTTTTTATGACCACATATGGTTTCTGTTATCTGTTACAAAATACTTTTAAGCTGGGCATATTCTGTACACTAGAATGGAAGCGTTGCATTGAGACACTCACTATAAAGTTGAGCAAGTTTGAGTCCGGTAAAGTCTGGGAAAAAAAAAATTGATTGTACCTCAAGAAGTTGGCATTTCATGGTGAATAATCCACAACTTTTGAGTGACGATGGAGCAAAATCTCACCTTGGTCAAGTCTTTGCAGCCGCTTCAGTCCGCCAAAGAAGGGAAATTGTCAAGCCCACCCTTCTTCTGTGTGTATATATCTGTGGGAGAGAGATTTTTTTTTTTTCCGCTTCTTGCTTATCCCTGCAGCCTACTTCAACAGCCTCAATTGGTTTATTTTGGGAGGAAAGCTAATGCCTGCCCCCTCCTACAGTATAGTATGCAAAACATAGAGTCAAAAGTCTACTGGCATGGGAGAAAACGCAAGCAAAGGCTTCCAATACTCAACTACGAAAAATACACCAGATTTTTCTTCTATCCACTATAGTCTATTTGTACATTTTTGTTTTGTGTTTGGGTCAGAGTCTGGAAATGTTCCCAGTCCAACAGGGGCTAGGATTTTTTATTTTATTTTATTTTTTAAAGATACTGTAGCACCTGACAAACGGTCATTGCTTGAGTCCTGGGAAACTGGCAGTACGATTTTGCCACTTTTTGGTTTGGTTGGTTTTGCTGTGGATTTGTTTTTGTCTCAAATGCTGATCAGGAACCTGAAAAAAAAAAACCTGTCCAAAGATTTCTTTAAAATTATCTCCTATTTAGACACGATGCTTTAAAACAGTAATCCATGCCTTTATCACTTCTCAGCAGCATGACTGCCACGCCACTTTATTTTGGAGTCAGCCAGTCTTTCATCAAAAGTCTCCAGTTGTAGTTTGATCGCCTCTGATCCAGAACGCGTACGAGGGAGCACAAACTTCATTTCTGGCTTCAATGAATTTCAACTTCAATGAATACACGTATTGAGCACCACAACTTGACAAGGTCGCGTTTTTATGCGCCGCATTGTAATGTGATTTTTTTCTCACTGACCTTGATTGCAGTCGTATGTTTGGTGTGAGGTGACCCGATGGTGCTTGTTGTGGCAGGAGCAAAATGTCAAACCGCGCACAAATACGCACGCTCCGATACCGCCGGTACCACCTGACAGGACATGTAAAAGGCTCAGATTAGCTGCTCACGCATACGCGCGTCTTTTTTCAGCCCATTTCTTGGGGCCCCACTTTCCACCACGACACAGGAAGTCACAGGGTGACCCATTTATTTTATTTATTTATTTATTTTCGAGCTGTATTGTTTGGTCGCAGCACACAGAGAACACTGGAAATGTGCCGCGCGTTTTTCAGACGAGGGCAATAATAATTCTCACACACAAACAAACCACAAATGAAGACAAAAAAACAAAAAAAAGAGAAAACATTTTTGAGGCCATACAAGCAAGTAAAAACATGAACAGTCACCCGTCTAAAGCATCTTTTATTTTCACAGCTGCAGAGCCCTTCAACGCTGGTTTACAAGCCATTCATGACTGACTATTTACTTTTATGGCTCAAAGCAGCAGCTCACATCTTGCATGGCTTGGGATGATTGGAATGTACATGACGGAAACAACTTTGCAGTTTTCTACAAATTTGTGTCCGTTCCATGCGAGTACGACGGAGCAAAACTGTTTTCATCTCTCACATTTTTCATTTTATACCCGACACCCCCCAGGGGTGCACAATGGTCGTGTGTACAAAAGCAGTGTTTTCGGCCCACTTTTGTTCACACAGCGACGATGCTGTGGAGGTGTCCGCGCTCTACCGAGTGCTCTAGTTCATCGTGATTTTTAAGCAGCAAAGAAAAAAACGGATCCATCTCAGATGGACGCGTTGCTAAAAGTAGTTTGTATCTCTTGTAGGACGAAATAACCCGCTTTGCACGACTCCACTGGCATGGAGGAAGGCCTGTACGTTGTGCAAGCAACGGGCCAGCCTGCGGCGCTAACGTTAGCTGCTAGCGTAGGCGCGTGCGTCCGAGCGCTATCTGAGGAGGTCGGAGACAAATTGAGAGGTGACGAAGGGCAACTTATCTGCGCTGGAAGATGGAGAGGGAGGCTTCGGGGCGAGGAGCTACAATGACCTGAAACCTCTTCCCCATTCGCACCCTGTTTAACTTCCTCGACCTCTGCATCTTCCTTTCCAACACAAAAGCCTGAGTCGGGGCTTTGCGCTCCTCTCTCGAAGCTCTCGGAGCTCGGAGACTCGGACAAAGCGGGGCAAAGGTGAAAGTTACGATGATGTGCCTTATGCAGGAAGTGGAAATCGTCTTTAGATGCGAAGTGGGCGAGGTTGGGCTCCGTTTTAACAGAGCTGCTGGAAGAGCCGGACGCAAAATAGCCCAAGTTCGAGAAACTCGACGAGGATGAGGACGAATTGCCCACGAGCATGTCTTTCGGAATCTCATCCGAGCCCGCTGATGGTGCGATGTTGCTCGGAGGTTGCGGGGCGCAAGTGGAGCTGGGCGGGGTGAAGGCGGAAGGACCCGCGGCCCACTTTTCACACACCTCCACGGGGGAGATGTGATCGACAGGCTGGGCAAAGTGCAAATATTCGACACAACTGGGATTCAGCCATTTCTGCAGAAAAAGAACCAGAGGCCGAATAAGGAACACATTTGACGAGCATTTTGTGTGTGTGTGCGTGTGTGTGTGTGTGCATGTTCATCTTGTATACGCATCATCGACATAACTTACCTTTAGATTTCCACCGTGGAGAGTTTGGAAGTATGTTGAAGGATTTGGAACTGGCTTCATTTTGAGGAATCTGAAATGGTACACGGGGTAGTTTAGTGGGTACAAACCGAAGAGACGATAGCTATATTAAAAATCTGGATAAAGAAAAAAAATGTTCATTTCAACTGTCAGAAAGGTATCCATTTAACTGTCGTTTTTTTATTTTTTTTTTTGCAATGCAGTTTCCGCTGCACTGCCGCCGTCTCATCAAACCTTCAAAATAAAAGTCATTCAACACCACGAACGCATGCACGCGCTCGCACAAATTTTACTCACCCGCTTCCGATGCCGCATTTGTAAAACACCAGCATCATGACAATTATGGCGACCCAGACGATCAAAACGGCCAATATGATCAAGTTGTCAGACAGACTCCATTCTGAAATAAAAAAAGTTTGAATGTACGTATGGTGCAGGAATTTCCTTCTCTTGTCTCAACTACAAATTTATCCCCAAGGCAAGTTGCCGGTGCGTCCAAACTTAAGCGCAGGAGAGCAAATGTGGATGTTGGGATTAAAAGGTCACAGCAAGCTGCTGTTCGGCTTCTCTCTCTTCCTTACCTCGATTTGCTGATTCCGGCCAGACCAAGGATGCAGGTGGACTCCACTCGCTCCACTGGCTTCCTTCCCTCTGCGTCGGCTTGACTTTTACACGAACGTGATGCTTGCCTTTCAGCCGCCCGGCAGCGATCCTTAATTGTGGCTCGTTGGTGGGAAATGTGTGAATCTCCTGCTGAGCCACATCAATATATATATTTTTTTTTTCAGTGTCGGTGACCGTTATGCAGCATCACATCCGTTTGCATTTGAGCGGATTCATAATCTATTGACAAGTTTAATAGCATCGTGTGAGGAAATCTATTCTGTGTTCCGAGAATTGGTGAATTGAAACGTCATTGTTCCATTTCCTCTTGATTTGTTTCAAATGCACTATCCCGTGAAATTGATTTTTTTGTAAATCATAACATAAAGCGTAATGAAACCTTAATTTAATAGACTAATTGGGGCCGGCGGGGTTGTCAGTTTACCGCCCATTGTCCATTACGTTGAATTGCAAATTCCCTCTTTAAGTGCAGTGTTGATGTTTTAAAATGCACAGAAAGTTACAGTTGCTTCCAAAAATATGAACGATACTTTTTAGGAAGAAAATCTGTGCCTGTTTTATTTTTTTATTTTCTTTATTTTAAATGAACATGTACGCTTACTACGCTACTGTCTTGCAATGTTGGTCATGACGGTGGAGCCACTGATTGATGCCACGAGAGCCATTGGTCAAAATGTAAACGCCAGCACATGCAACACACTTGCCTTTGTCGTTGGGTCACTGTTTAGCGTCTGAACTTCGTAGTCAAACGCCGTGAGGAGCACAGAGCAGGGACTACCCGGATGCCAATCTATCACGGTGGTGTCATTGTCAGTGAAGGTGACATTAGGGAGCCCCGGGGGGTGCATTTTGACTACACACACACAAACACACATTCTTCATTTCACTTATTCTGGTTCTAATGAATGAAAAATGTAAAACAAAAAAGATGACGAGACAAAATGTACACACTGTGACGTCCGGGTGCATAGTCTTTGAGGTATTCCACCAGCCCACCGTTACATTTCATGCTGATGTTTGGCATCTCCTCGAAAAAGGTGAATTCCTGGAATAACCCATCGAGACATTAATCAGAAAGGAAATGAGGAGATCCATGTCATTACAAGTGGATACATTCCTCTGAACACTTACTGTATTTTCAAAGACAAAACTGCATCCCGGACGTGTGTTGCGGTGTTGTTTCACCTTGCAGCTCCGACTAAGTCGACAGGGAATACAAGTCGCTGTTGTGACCTATTATACATAAATATTGTAGCGATCCGTCCTACCTGATTAGAACTGAACGTGTCCCCACATCCTTCTTGATTCGTATTTTCTTGTAGCCATATATCGTGCAGTTTTCTCCCGAAGAAATGTTGAGTGTACACGTGACATTGTTGATGAAGTCATTCACGCAGGTGAGCCCTGAAATTCGCCCTCCTCCGCCTCACCCAAAAAAAAAACAAAAGATGAAAAAGTTGTGCAAGGAAAAGTTTGGTGCACTTGGAGCCAAATCCAATGTTAGTCAAACTCAAATGAACATTTAATCCAATTAGCTCTGTGCTCACTTTTTGATGATTTTTTTTTTCCCAACTGTGTCTTTGCTATGCTGATGCAAATGAACCCTTTCATGCACCCTGTAACCTGATCACATGATAAGCCGTCCGCTGTAGTCACCACTGTCCCTTAAAGGGTTAACATCTGGAATCTGGAGACATTCTTATTTAAGGAAAAAAAAAAGCCCCTAATTAAAATATGCGTCACAAAATGCACGTGAACCCTACAGACGCAAAATGCAACATGCAAACTCCAATACGATTTGAACGGACAAATGTCAATTATTACTCATGCCTCCCACGGGGGACACGTTTTTGTTACCCGTCATCTGGCGTGATTCAACAGTGTGCGTCGGTAACCGTAACTCGTGTCCAATTCTCATGTCAAGTGACATAATGAGTCTCACCTTGCACGTTTGCCGCGCAGTCCAAGGAACGAAGGGAAAACAGAACCGCCACGACAAAATAGGGCCGTACCCGCCCCATCTTCAGCACAGTCGATCTATGAACATATGGACCCGGTAGAGTCGTATGATTATTACTTTAGTATCACAACATGGATAGTTTGAGCACTGGGTGGAGTGTCTTTCGATCAACATTTAACAGTAATGAGACCCAAGCGTTATAGTTGCGATTGTCACAAGAACTGCACAAACTCTCGATAGTAGTGAGTAGTGGCCATACTTGTCTAATAATTTCACAAAATGTAAATGGACACGATTCCCTTCATGGCAAGTTCAGTTGAATACTCGGATCCCATCCTTGTTGCTTTAAACTTGTATTACTGTACTGTTGTCCTATTTAGATGGAAAAAAGAATAATCAGGGAATTAAATGAGAACTGTCAAGTCTCATTGCCTCAGTGTGGGGCAAATAAAGGATATCTTAATTTCAAACAAAAAGAAAATCTCAAGCAGTTTTAGAGCGGGGACTTTTCCCCATTCGGTTTCTGCACTTTTGTTTTTTAGAAATGAGTCATTACAATTATGGTAAGTGTCTGAGAAAACTGATCGCATGCAGAGAAAACAAAAGTACGGGTATCAAGTAATTTCCAAAGCTGGCTTAAAAAAACTCCCACTCTTTAAATAAAAAATAAAATAAAATTACAGATTCTTAAATGTACTGAGCTATAAAAGTAGAAAGGATTTTTTTTTGTTTACTGTTGATGACTTAATCTACCCATTTTGCTAACTTTGCAAAATTGATCTGATCACAAAATAATTTGTCTTAATTATTAACTTGTTTACTGCTCATACAAAGAAAAAAAAAGATGCCTGATGCTATTTAAAACTTTGTTTCCACAGCTTTGCTAATGTGAAATGACAAAAAAAAAAATTTTTAAAAAAATCCAAAATGAGCTCTCGCTAGCGTTACTTGATGGTTGGCTGATGATTTTTAGGCTAGCACAAAACACAAGCCATTCGCCACGAATTGTTCTTGTAGCTGGCAACATCAAATCATCCTAAAACATGAATGCAATTGCAAAGAAAGAAATCTTGAAAATACGAAGCCGATACTGTACCTGACTTTCTTGGCGAAGCGAAGGCGTCAGCGCCTCCCCGACAAGAGCCACATTCTCGCTCCTTCTGCCGGACCGTCGGCTTCAGCGGAAGATTTCTTTCTCTTTGATCTCTCACTGTCCTTCTTCCCTTCCGCATGCTCTCATTTTGTTCTCTCGGTCTTTCTGCCGCTCATTCTCTGGCCTACTTATAGCCTTAACTCTTTGTTTGGGTGGCCGGTGACATTTTCCAATCGTCAACCGCAGCTGCTTTCTGGGCCTTAACAGGAAGCCCTGTGACGCGCAAAGTGTTAGTGAAAAAGTGACGGGCAAGGGTAAGGTGGGAAGGTGAGTGAAAATGTCACTCGCGGCGCCTCCCTCCGCTCGCCAGCACCTTTTAGCGACACCTTACCCCCGATCACAACTTACTACCATCGTTCGGATATAAACTGCACTGGAAAGACACCACATCCTGTTTCAATCGCTTTGTCGAGAGAGACGCTCGCATTGTCCCTCTGAAGTGGTTTGAATCAATGAAACTCCAGTTAAAAGAGATCCTAACGCCCCAAAAAAGTGAATACAGGCCATATTTAGAAGCACGCAGCTATTTAAGAAGCTTCGAAGATGCGCCACTTGACTGTAGCCTCAACCCGAGACCGCCACTCAAACACTTTGGTGGCAGACGTGAAGGAAAAGACGGTTGGAGAATGTCTTCTTGCTCAAAAGGTCATCCAACATCTCAGGGGAGTCAACGGAGCTTGTTATGCTCGAGGGATCACAGAGTCACCATTGGAATTCAGGAATATGAAAGATCCAGTGGGATCCCACAGGGATCATTGCTCCGACCCCCTCTGTTTGTTAGTTTCCATAGTTTTGATCAAAATTCAAAAAACATCGGCGTTTCACACCAGACGATGATCGTCCCGATGTACTGTTTCAATGTTTGGAGCTGGGTGTATTTTTGGTTGACATTAGAAAAGTCGTCTCTAATATTCAGGTGACCTTTTGAGCAACACGAGAAACTTTTCTCAGCACGATGCAGTGCGGTTGTGCAGGCCTGCAAAACAACAACCGCAACAATCGACATATTGTTCGATAGCTCCCTCCGTGCCGGTGTGCAATCAACCTCATTCCTAGCGTCTAACGATGGGAATCAAATCTAAAATATGGTGTTTCGAATCGGTCAATTGCGCCAATGACGAGGACAGTTTCGTGGGAATGTCTTGTTTCCGTCGTGGAGATCAACAAAAGGCTGCTATGTGACAACGTGCAGCATTAAAAACCACAACGTACTTGCGCATACAAACTATTGCTGACAACCGCAGTCGGCCAGAAGTCTGCCGCTCCCCGCTAACACCCCCTCCCGCCGCCCTGCTTGCTGCTATCGCTCAGGCGGGCGAGGATCACAGAAGGTGGAGGTGAAAGAGCGCCGTGCGAGGCCATGCGATACTTTCGAGATTGGCAAAGGCGTGTCAAGTGCCACAATGTGAGCAAGCATGAGATCGTGCGTGGTGCTCAGACGATTACAAGAGAGGGCACGGATGTTAGAGTCGATGACAGATCTGGGCGAAGTACGGTCACATCCGGCCCACCCAAAGTCTCCGACTGGCCCTCACAGTGACCATGAACTCAAAATAAAACACAGAATGTGCAGTGATTTTGGTAAATGTTCTGTATGGCCCATATGGCATCGATTAGTTTGTTTGCATTGTTGTATGAGTGACATAAACTTTATTCTGACTGGCAGGCTTTCTCATCTCGACACAATTAAGGCTCGTTTAAATTTTTTATTCTTATTTTGAGAAAAGGTCTTATTCCAGAAACGACAGAATAAACTAGTCATTGCAACTCTTCATCTGAAAACAGGCCACTCATACCAGAAGATGCGAGTGATAGGAAATCCATTGTCGTTTGTATTTGTTTCGCCTCATGGCGACCGCGCACGAGCGATATGACTGAACGCTCTTTGTCGGAGCCGAATCGGCTTTCACATTTCTGTCCTGACAAAAAAGCGCAGCAGCTTGTGACAACGAACAAGTTTCAGTGGTTACGCATAAACCTCCACACAGCCGCCTGTACACATCACGCAAGAAACTTCAGTAGTTACGGCATCACATTTTAGTTTGCACAGGCTTGCGGTTCACAAAAAGTCCAACAAATCATTTCATTGTTGTTGTGCTTTTTTTTTTTTTTTTTTTTAATGAAGGGTGTTTTAGGGGAGATGTCCCATTTCCATATGCTTTTGTTTTTTTGTTTTGTTTTTTTTAAAACAACAAATAACCTTCCTGTTATTTCAAAATCACCATTCTTGATATATTGCCACGCAGCAAAACTTCACACTTCGCATCTTGCAAAAACAAGATTTCGGTGCATTTTGTCGACCACACTGGGAAGGAGACCTCATTTTGAAGCCCCCCCCCCCTCCCATTTGTCAACAACTTGTTGAGTTTCTGGTTCAAAATGTTTCTCTCCATCCACTCCACTGACAGACGAGTCGAATCAGCGCAGCATTTGCGAGCGAAAAAGTCAGAAAATCACACAATCAAGCCCAAAATGATTCAGATCCTGACCAATTTTTTCATTGTATTTTTAAATTGCTAAATGAGTAACTTGTAGCCGGAAATTGTGAATAGACAAATTAGTTAGATATTGTTTTACATTTTGGCAAAGTTGCATGGCAAAAAATATCCATCCATTTTACGATTCGCTTTATCCTCACAAGCGTCGCGGCGGGTGCTGGATCCCATCCCAGCCGTCTTCGGGCAGTAGGCGGGGGACACCCTGAACCGGTTGCCAGCTAATCGCAGGGCACACAGAGACCAACAACCATCCACGCTCACACTCACACCGAGGGGACAATTTAGAGTGTTCAATCAGCCTGCCATGCATGTTTTTGGAATGTGGGAGGAAATCTGACTACCCGGAGAAAACCCATGCAAAACCCCAGTGGAGAAGATGCAAACTCCACACAGGGAGGCCGGAGCTGGAATCGAACTTGGTACCTCTGCACTGTGAGGTCGACGTGCTAACCACTGTTACTCCGAGCCGCCCTGGCAAAAAATATTCCTGCGTAATATGTCATGTTTTAAAATTCAAATTAGTTTGACTAATCAAATATTCTATCCAAAGAGAAGCACGGGTTCGAAAGGTGCTAGCTGATGACCAACCCACACAAACAAAACACAATTCTGCTATTCAGCTTGTTTTCACCAATCCGCAGCCCAGTGAGGACATACTAAACCACACGAGAGGCAAAGCGAAGAAAAAAAAAGGTGTTATATTTCCTATGAATGTCACACACTTGACACCTGAGAGCATGACATCAGGTTTCACCTTCGGACCAGAAAACAACACAAATATTAGGTCATTATTCAAAGTTCAAAATGAATTGTAATATATATCGTTCCAAGCCTTTTCTGTCCCGGGGCTAAAGGTGAGCTTGACTGATACGAAGCATGACTGTAAACATAATTTATAAATATAATTTTGCCCCAGTGTAGCACCATCCCTGCTCTAAAACTCTCCGCTTCTTTTTCCTCAGTTGTCCATACCTCTGGCGCAGTCACATGACTGTTTTGGATCGTTTTACTTTGTTAGGCTTCTGGGCCTTTTCCTGTCACCCACTTTTCTCCCCTTTGCCCACTTTCGTCGCCGTTTCAGAGCCTCCTTCCTAATTCATCGTTACTCCCAGGTACTTCAAACACATCCTCCGGTATTAGCTCGAAGTTGTTATCCTTGATGTCATTCTTTACTTTTCGACTACTTGAGGGCCTTTGACTCCATATCATGTCAGCACAGTCGCTTATGTTGGCGCCCTTCCTCGCTATCGGCCATTGACGCCAAGCCATCTGCATACAACAGCTGCCAGGACGCACGTAGCTGCATTCTTCAATGATTGCATCCTGTACAGCACTGACTAGAAAAGGGCTCGGGCCCAAACCCCGAGTTTAACTCGATTTATTCACATATCACATACGCTGAGGAAAAAACACCAAAGGTACTCTTTGTGTTCTTTTATTCAATTTTATTTCACAATACACAATTTATTGTGTTCTTCGTTATAATACCACGCACACGTCAACTGGCTAAAACAATATAAAACATAACTTTCACAATTTGGTTTATTTATAATATATACACGCGATCACTTATCCGTTGGGCAAAAAACTCACAGACTTATTTGCTTGTTCCCAAACGCGTGTCGTGATAATTTGCGGAGAATTGACACTGGTTGAAGAAAGCAAATTAGCGACCTTGTTTTTTCGAATGCTTCCCTCCTCGTGGTGGCTGGACAGAGGCCTGCTTCCTTCTTACGCCTAACTGTTGAGTTTACAACCAATAGTCAAGTGCTGGGGGTTATCTTTGACATGCCACCGATGAAATGGCGTAAAAGTACAGAAAAGTTGATCCTTGCTGGAGTGGTCCTTCGGGTTCGATCAAGTCAGACTTCCTTCCCTGCCAGATTTATGTGGGTGCAAACTTCTTGGCCTGGGCCCTGACCCGCTTCTCGTAATCCATCCGGTTCTGACTGGAACGGAAAAACACAATATTGCATTTTAATCCCTTATAATTAATAGTGGGGGTTATTTTAAGGCGCTGAGTTTTGGTTTGCATTGTTGTATGAATGACATCGACTTGATTCTGACCGGCAGGCTTTCTCATCAATGAAGATGGCACACAACAGATTTTTCATTGTGAATAATTGAATGTCTTGCAGACTTTTGGTACGACTCAAATTTTTGATTGAGGATGAATAATTGCGGGGCATAACGGTATGTCCGCCTTTTATGTCCACACATTAGCACGGGGAGCTGAAAAAGTTCAGCAAACTGGAATTTGAATTTCATTCCGATGAAACTCCAAAATAAAAGCAATCAATTCACCACTCGGTGGATGCATACCAGTAAATTGTGTAAGCCTCTGCTTGTGCTGGGTCTTGAATGTTGGGCTCATTCAGCAGCTCCTGGATCCCCAACAGAATCTGAAAACACACAATACCATTAAAGTGACGGTCCAGAACTTTTAGAAACAATTTCACCCTTACCACAGCCTTATGTAATAACGACTATGAAAACCTGTTTGATGGTGATGGCGGGCCTCCAATCTTTGTCCTCCTCCAGGATGGACAGACAAACAGTACCGGATGGGTAGACATTTGGATGGAATATCGGTGGCTCAAACTTGCCTGAAGAGGTGGTCGAAAAAGAGATTTAAGAAATCTTAGAGTATATCAAACGTTTCCAGCTGTGATGTTGACAGAGATGCTTGGATATTTGCGACATTGTGCCGCAGGGTTTGTCACAAGGCGGCCGAAGTTTAGATGTGTGGTATCAGTGGGACTCACATTTGGGTGGCGAGGAGGGGTAGTCGTCCTTGAAGAGCATCCTGAGTTTATACAATCCTCCCTCCCACAAGGTCTAACAATCACAAGAGTAAAAACTGCTTTAGTCCAAAACACAGCCGCATGAAATGACAGGGAGAGTTGTTCAAAGAACCCAAAGCCCCGGTGGAAAACCCCAGCGCGTGAGAATGCTTCTGTGGTATTACAAAAACGTCGATAGGAACCGACAAGCTCCCCTATTGCCTTGTTGGATCAGATGTTGCACTCAACAGCTGTTTAGGATCCAATGAAGATGTCCATATTGCAAAACTAATCTCTTAAAATGTTCAACTTACTCATCTTATTTATTTATCTTTTTATATAAAGAGAAGTCAAAATAAACAGAAATAATATGGTTGCATATTTTAACTGTGACATGGCTGTGTTCAGATTTAACCAATAAATAACATTCAACTCGTGCTCAATGGGAGTCAGGACACAATCCCAACAACTGATCAACCTCAAACATGTTCTAGTAGGTTAGTCGAGCTACTTTGAACTGTTCATAATTCTTTCCATCAGGTCAAAACATTCAGTTCCAGCTGAAGGAAAAACAGCCCTAAAGCATGATGCTGCCACCACCATGTGGTTGTGCCAAAAATACCTTTTGAAATTAATGGCCCAAAAAATTCAACCTTGGTTTCATGAGGAACACATTCGCCCACGTGTTTGGTAGATTTTGTTATGGTCCAATGAAACCAAGGCTGAAGCGTGTTAATTTTAAACACAACCACATGCCAGTTCTAAGTGGGTGTGAACACACGTGCAATGCCCGTTATCTCAGTTTTACTTTATCGTTTACAGATTTTATTTTTTTTTTGTTGTACAAGTTTTGAACTGATCTTGCACTCTCTTTTTTTTTGGCATTTTTACACCGGTGCGTGGACATTTTATAACCAGTGTAGCTCGTACCTAGCCCTAAAATAAACGCAATCATTCAATCCGTGTCCATTGTGTAGTTTAAGCCCCTGCCTCTATCGATCTTACCTAACTGTCCTGTACTATCTATATTACCTAACTGTACTGTGCATAGCCACAGCCGTTAATTAGCCACAAATTTCATACAGTGCTTGAAAACTTACGCCTTTCTTTCCAGGAATGGCACATTCCCAATTCATCAGATTCATGGTTCCATCTGGATTCTTGGTAGGCACAGCAACAAAACCCTGCGAGAAGTAAAACAATTTGAGCGTGTCCTGAGAGAAAAGTATTGGTGATTTGGGGAATAAAAAAAGGCGCACTAACAAACGGGTGGTCTTTTCTCCAGGCTTTGCGCTCCTGGGACAGTCTGCTAAGCGCAATGCCTGACATTGATGCTCATTAACCCCTCCCTATGGGAACATGTCAAACAATTGAATTAAAATAATAGACATGTAAACCAAGTACAGCCTCTGGAGGCGTTTACAAAAATGACAACAACGTATATAGACACGAATCGTAAAACACGTTTCAAAATTAAACACGGTTAATTTAACCGCTGTACCCCATGCTATAATTACTCGACTCAGTGGAGCCATATATTTCTCTTTATCATTTTAAATGTAAAATGAAGTCTATCTTAAAACGAAACCCACCAGCTAATTTTCGGGTGAATATCAAAATTAAGTAAACTGTATGGCGTCTTAGCGGCGTTAGCGCGACCGAAGAAAACACACCCTTCGTCGTTGGAAAACAAAAATAATGGGCCACTAGGGACGTAAATGACCGAGCCGATACAACGACGCTTTGTTCAACATTCCTTTAGCAATCTAAAACGAGGATGTTGATGTTAATTTTTTCACAGTTTTCTTTAAAAGCGCAATATATAGATCGTAACCGCGACTCCGCGACTAGCATACATCTAAGGACGAGGACCCCAATTTGTTTATTTCTGGAGGACCTTCAGGCAGTTTTATGGACAGCCCAGGGACCTATGTGAAGTCCGACAGCCATCTTTGTTGTGGTATCATACACGACTGAAGGATTTGTCGCTCCAATTATTCATTAGTAAACGTCCTTCGACCGAATTGATTCAGATTGCTGTCCCACCACGAAAATTACATTTTAAAATACAACGAAGACTTAAGACCTTGCATAAATAGTAATATCTTGTTACGGTCTATTTTATCACAAGACATTAAATTAGAAGATTTTATGGAAAAACAAAGTCAGGTAACAGGAGGATTACTGATTGAACTTCTGAAGTAAATTTTTTTTTTTTTAATATTTTTGGGGCAATTACATAAAATACCCTTAAAAATTACTGATTGAACTTCTGAAGTAAATTTTTTTTAAAAATATTTTTGGGGCAATTACATAAAATACCCTTAAACTCTGCACACAAATGTTTTCCTCAATTATGAAACAATTCCCGTTTTTCAAACAATCAATAAAATGAACCTCACTAACAGTTAACATGCGTGTACCTCTCTTTCATCATGACTTGTTTACATTGTGTCACCATCCGGTAAGGTTGAACAAAGTACAGAGCCTACTTGGACAAAGTGGGGAAAGGGGAGAAAACGGTTATGTGCTTTGAAATTTAGGGATTAGAAGTAAAAGGCCATCTGCATTATAAATACTCCAGTAAAGCATTAGACGCCTGAAAAATCTACTTAAGTCTCCAGTAATCAAGTATTTGTACTCTGTTATTTTCCAGTACTACTGTCGTGTTGGGCACATATTGCAAGATGGCTTGCATGCTCAAAACAAACTCAATGTTTACTTTTCTGAACTGTTTAATGAATGAGAACAAATGAGTATGATGGTTTTAATGGAATCCTACAAGAAAACTGAAACCAGAATACATTTCATGCATGACTAATCATCTTATTTTAAAAGAAAGACAAGGAAATTTGATAGAAAAATTTTATACCCCAAGCAACACAATGTGCTTCAAAGCACAGATTGCTTTGTACCATAAACATTTATTGTACTGTAATGTATGCTGTAGTCTGAAATAGATGACATGCTTAGTGAGGGACTGTGGCCCATTGCATGTTTCTGCATACTGTGACAACGTTCAAGTATTAACATTGCTTGAGTAACAACTAAAGTGTGCATCGATTAAATCATAAACTGCTAGAAAGCACGAATGCAGTTCGAAATAATAACTTGTAACATGCATCTCTCTTTACTGCTAACACTGACTCGAGCCCCCTCTGACCTAGTCGCCTGTCTCACATTTTCTTTCCCTCTCCCTCTGAGATGACGTTTTCAGGAGATGCTCTTTTAAACCACTCGGACCAAGAGCCGTCATAAACGCACACGCCCGGGTGTCCGAGCCACTGAGCAACCAGAACAGCAAAGCATGCCGTCACGCCACAAGAGCAGGTGGCCCACATCGGCTGGCCCAATCTGAGTTTGGTTTCCCTGAATCGTCTGGACAGGTCCTCATTGGCCAGAAACTTCCCTGAGGATTCCAGGAAGGAGGTAAATGGCAAGTTGATTGCACCGGGGAAGTGGCCAGGTAGAGTCCCTGTTTCAAAAAAAAAAAAAAAATTAAGAATTGCACTATTCAGACAAAGGGTAAATTCACAGGACTTTACGTAGGCAATTGAGATTAATATTCATTAGGAGATTAATATTCATTAGGAATTTATTTATTTATTTATACACATACACAATGTGATTCATCAATTAAGTGAAAAATAATTGACATCTACAATTAATCGCGAGTGAGTCGCTCTAAAATTAAAAAATGTGCAGCTCATCCATTGTATCAGCATTCAAATGTACTGTAGTACTCAAGTCGAAGTGCAGTTACTTGAAAATATACTCGAGGACAATAATTAAGTATTTGTATTTTGTTACTTCCCTCCACTGAGTAACAACACAAATTTAACCAACTTTCATTTGGTATGAATGACTGGTAAAATTGTTGCTTACTGTTTAGTCTGCTAAAGCAACGATTGCATTTTTTTCTTATCTTCTCTTCAAGAAAAAGCTTGATCCAAACTCAAAACACAATTGCGAAAGTCTGCTCACCCTCTATGGGCTCCGGTTCGACCCCCCTGTACCTGCCCTTAGGCCTGGTGTCCACCACCTGGATCTTCTCGGTGCTGATGTTCTCCAGCACGTCCTCATAAGTCTTCACCCACGCCGTGTTGTTCGTGGACACCTTGAAGTCTTTGCGCTCCGGCTTCACTTGCTCTGACGTCACCGGGCGCCCTTCGGCCAACCAGTTCTTCATGCCCCCGTCCAGCACCGACACCGAGTCGTGTCCGAACAATCGGAACATCCACCAGACTCGGGGCGCGGTGTACAAGCCGAACTCGTGCGCGTCGTAAACCACCACATGCGTGTCGTTGCCGATGCCCAGCTCGCTCACGTAGCGTGAAAAGTGGCTGCTCGTGGGGAGCGTGTGGCAAAGAGGTGAGCTCTGGTCACTGCACTCGACTATGTCGAAAAACGAAGAGCCCGGGATGTGCCTCTCCGCGAACTCCGCTTTCGGGTCCCGTTTGGTTACCGGCAGGTACCATGACGAGTCCAGGACTCGAATCTTGGAGCCCACGAGACCGTTTTGAAATGCGTCCGCTAGCCACTGGGCTGAGACCACAGCGCGAATTTGTGCCGCCATACCGGTGTAGATTCCGTGGAAATTTTGGTCAACAAATTTCAGGGCCTTGGAACTGTTGCGCAAGGCGGGGCCATTTGGTGCAAAAGGTTGCTGAAGTGCATTGTGATTACGTAATGATGTCTTTCCACAACAAAATATGCCAGTGGATCCCAAATTTTTCAGTACAGTGCTATCAGAGGGAGCCACAGGACTCTTCGTACCACACTGAAAATCACTGGCGTACAATTTAGATTAGAAATACGTAATTTACATCCATCCATTTTCAACACCACTTATTCTAAAGAGGGTGGGGGGGGGGTAATTTACATGACTTGTATTATCACACTTTTATTTGGAAGCATAATTTGAACAGATTTTCTCTCTCTCTCTCTCTCTCTCTAGATTACTTCCAGAGAAGTACAGGCGCATCTTGCATTGCCCTTAAAAAAATAAAATAAAATCAATGGCTTACAGATGACTGCAATTCAGGGGAAAAATGCACCAGATGTGTGAAGTTGCCGGAGAAGTTAAAAAAAAGAAAAAAAGTTGAAAGTAATTCAAAGCACAACACAAAGAATTTGTCTGGGAGCCATTAAAACCCAACATCGGCATTACAAACTGGGTAAATACCTCTAGCTTGATGGAGTTTTGATCTTTGGAATCTTTTATGTGAATGGACAGGGATGTGACATAATCGAGAAAGGAGAGTGAATAAAACAAGGAAGCAGTAAACTTTGGGTTAAGCACTATAAAGAAAGTATAAAATAAATATACAAATTGCCAGATGGCTTTTCCCAACCACATCACCATGGCTTACAGATTACATAAAAAATGTACAGGTATTTGCAACCGCATGCTATAACAACAAATTTCGCTAAACCTCAGTATGTTAATAAGAAGCACTTTGGATATCTGCAAATATTTAGACTTTTTATCGCCAATTTGCACAGCTCCGTTTTGTTGACCTTTAACAGTTATTGGATAACACAGCAGAAACAAGAACACTTATGATATTTCAAGTTGTCTTTAATAACATATATGCTGCTACAATCTGTATTCAACCCAGGTTCCTGCTAACTCTGCCCATGCACCAAAACATTGAATATTTACTTTTCTGGTGAATGAATAATGAGAACAACCCATGAGCATGACAAAGTTTAAATGGAATCATGTGAGAAAAAAAATGAAAACATGCCTTTCGTGCATGATTTGGAAAAGACCACTCCCCGAATCAAAAAGTGTGCTTTGTTTGTGAACCGGCAACACAACCAGCATAAAAGATGTCACTGGAGGGGGGGCATAAGTACATTGCTTTATACACTTTAAGCACTTCTTGCAGTGTCTGAAAGAAATCCTTTGCATAGAGTGGTACTGTTGCAGCATTCAAATATTGCTCTACTTGAGTAACATGTTAACGGTTGCGTAGATTATTTCATATACTTTTACAAAGCAGCGTTGTGCCTTTTAAAATGTGCAAATGTCTTAGCAAGAGTTGAATTCACTTGGGACAAACCTATTTCTTTTTTCTGTTACCGAGACGGCTGGCTCACATTTCCTTTCCCTCCCCCTCTGAGATGACGTTTTCAGGAGATGCTCGTTTAAACCACTCGGCCCAGGAGCCGTCGTAAACGCACACCCCCGGGTGCCCGAGCAGGTGAGCTGCCAAAACGACAAGGCACGCCGTCACGCCAGAACCACAGGTGGCCCAAAGCGGCTGGTCCAATTTCACACCGGCTTCCCTGAATAGTCTGGACAGGTCCTCATTGGCCAGATACTTTCCAGAGGCTTCCAGGAAGGAAGTGAACGGCATGTTGATCGCACCGGGGAAGTGGCCTGGTAGGGTACCTGTTAAGAAATTTAAAATGTGGAGCAAACACCCCCTATATATTTAAGTTCCCCTACTGCAGTTACACAATGCACTTCATCATACAGTGCTGAACAAGTACATGGGAAAAGCACCATGAAAGCAAAACGAAGCAATTAAATCGCAATAGTGAGGAGGGAAAATTGCAAACACATTATTTTTCAAAATCATTCAACCCGACTAGTGAATTAGCTTTCCCCAAAACTGCCGTAAGTCACAGTTACTTTGTGATTTAACAAGGAGGCGGGCAATTACTCAATTATTCGACCAGATAGGTTTGAATGTTTTTCCTCCATGGTAAATGAAATCATTTAGAAACTGCCCCTCCCATTTTTATTAATATTTCCTTGTCTCTGTTGGATATTAAAATGGGTTTGAACTGAAAACTCTTGTGTGCGATAAATATACACTTAACACAGAAATCAGGAAGAGGGCAAATACTTTTTTCACTGCACTGTATAGCTTGCTAGCTAGCGTTAGTGGTATCGGTGACTTGGAATCGTCGCTGTCAGTGAGACATCAATTCTTGAGTGCATACTCGTGTCGGTCTGGGAATAAAAAAGTGAGATTGACCTAAATTAAATTTTGCAAAGTTTGTTAATATTCCCAAGGCATTCTGAGGCACTCATGGTATTTAATTGGACTAATGGATGACCTAGAAAAAAAACTCGTATTTTCCTGGACTCAAAACCTCTGGGAACTCAAGTGGTAGTCTCGGACGCCTTCCGATTTACGTACAAGTTTATTCGTCATAAATTGGGGTGTTGCGAAAGCTTGCTCACCCTCTCTCGGCTCCGGTTCGACCCCCCTGTACCTGCCCGCAGATCTTGCGTCTACCACCTGGATCGTCTTGGTGCTGATGTTCTCCAGCACGTCCTCATAAGTCTTCACCCACGCCGTGTTGTTCGTGGACACCTTGAAGTCTTTGCGCTCCGGCTTCACTTGCTCTGACGTCACCGGGCGCCCTTCGGCCAACCAGTTCTTCATGCCCCCGTCCAGCACCGATACCGAGTTGTGACCAAACAGTCGGAACATCCACCAGACGCGGGGGGCGCTGTACGAGCCGAAGCCGTTCGTGTCGTACACCACCACATGCGTGTCGTTGCCGATTCCCAGCTCGCCCACGTAGCGTGAAAAGTGGCTGCTAGTGGGCAACATGTGGTCGTACGGTGAACTTTGGTCACTGCACTCGTCTATGTCGAAGTAAGAAGAGCCCGGGATGTGCTTCTCCGCGAACTCCGCTTTCGGGTCCCGTTTGGTTATCGGGAGGTACCATGACGAATCTAGAACCCGAATCTTGGAGCCTACGAGGCCGTTCCGGATTGCGTCCGCAAGCCACTGGGCTGAGACCACAGCGCGAGCCTGTGCCGCCATGATGGTGTGCAGATGTGCTTCAGACGACCAACAGTAGAGGGCGCCAGAGAGGAATAGCCAGTAAAATGATGTGCCATTTATTCGTTTTAAACCAAATTTCATCATCGCCGTTTGACGCATAAAATGTCGTTCTGCATCTTCTATACTTAATTTGTGTTTTAAATTGACATTATTTAGAAATAAGGCTGCACTGACATAGTTTATGCACTAAATGGCTCGCGCTATCACACTTAAATATAAAAAATGTAAAGATCCACCGCGAAGCAGTTGCAATGGTACGTTGTGTATGCAAACCTGGAGAAAAAAAAGCAACAGGACAGTGGCACATTGGCATAATGTTTTCCATAGATACCTTACGATGTATTTATATTTTTATATTAGTATGAATTCTGATCATGGCCAGTTTGGCAACAATTAGAAAAAACCGCTACAATCAAAGGCAGCATGCTTTGAAGACTAAGGCCCCAAGCAGGTGGTGGGGAGCGCATTGACGATTGCGCCCCACTTCAAATAATTTTTCACATTTTTATAAAATAAAACTTATTAATATTCCTGACACAAGCAATATTGAATGTCTTTGTTCTGGTCAGAACCCCAACTGCAGCATTATGCAGAGGTCAAGTGCAGTATTGTGAATGAGCTGATTTTGAGACTGTGCCGTCAGAAGAACTGTCTGCAACATTTCAATCTGGAGATCTTTTTCGGCTGGTAAAAAAAAGCTGTTTTAGGGATTGTACAACCATTTGTGCAACCGTATTGCAATAGCTCAGTTGCGCACAGAATTTATGCTTCCCCTTTTTTTCAGTTGATGTGTACAGGTATTCGTTCACATTAATGGTGGAAAACGTTTTTCAATGATTTGTCACAGTATCACTTTTTTTACATGAAAAATAACCTGTAATTTGAACAGGGATGTGTAAACGTTTTACAGACAAACATTCAAACTCACATTCACAACTATATGGGAAATTTAGAGTGTTCAATTTACCCCACAAGTTTTCTGGTAATTTTTGCAAGCTACTTTTTGTAAGTTTTCTATGCTTTGCTCTGAATGTTGGCCATTGTTGTGTTTCTAAGTCCTCAGTGTTGTGTCTTTGCTTGTGTGAAGCGCATTGATTTTCTGGTAATTTTTGCAAGCTACTTTTTGTTTTCTATGCTTTGCTCTGAATGTTGGCCACTGTTGTGTTTCTAAGTGCTCAGTGTTGTGTCTTTGCTTGTGTGAAGCGCATTGAGTTCCCTTGTGTATGAAATGTACTATATAAATTGTGTGAGAAAAAAAAAAGAAACATGAGCCGGAGTGAAGTGTTGTGCTTGTCGTGCTCACATCGCCAAAATTGTGACGAGTCAAGCCAGCAGAACGTTTGTGACACTGCACCACCGAAAACAAACACAAATTGTCAAATGTGAGAGGTCTTGTCTGAAGCCGGACATGATCCATAAAAAGATGTAAACGTTGCACTGGTGTATTTGAATCACATGTATGCAGTTGTTTATCGGGTAATAATAACTGGGCTGCCCCATGCATTTCATGTGGCCCCCTAAAGACTGAGGTCTGATGTGTCTGCTATTTGCAACACCTCGGTCTGGAGATCTTTTCCGGCTGGTTAAATTGCTGTTTTGGTGATTGTACAATATGTGCAACCACGTTGCAGTAACTCAGTTGCATACACTATTTCTACTTCCTTTCTTTTCATTTCAGTTGATTTGTGCAGGTTGACCGCACAGCAGCAGTAGACATTTCGTGTGAGCCCCTAAAGACTGAGGTGTGGCTTGCAACACTTCTTCAGTCTGGAGATCTTTTCTGGCTGGTAAATGGTTGTTTTAGGGATTGTACAACCATTTGTGCAACTATATTGCCGTAACGCAGTTCCGGGACAGTAATTCTGCTTCCCCTTTTTTCAGATTGTTTGTGCAGGTTATAATTTACAGTAATGGTGGAAAAAAAAAATTAAAATTATTTATCATGGCTTCATCTTTTTCATCTTAAAGTCACCTGGAATTTGAGCAGGGATGTGTAAATAATCATTGAAAGTCACATTCACGCCTATACAGTACATACACAAATTCATTAAAGAAATGCTAATTGAATACAAACCTAGTCGGGCCGTGGAATCTGCAGAAGTGAGTCAATGAGTGGAGCCCAGAGGTCAAAGTAAACAAGGTGAAGCTGCATTTAGTTGTTGCGCTGCACGCAAATGCGGTAAACTTCTAATCATTTTTTAAAAATAGCTCATTATGTTGTCGCAATTTTAGACAACTTGTATTTTGTTGGTTTTTTTTAAAAAATACTTTTAAAATGTAATGTTTTAAACATTTTTTGTTGCGCTGCACGCAAATGCGGTAAACTGCTAACAGAAGTGAAGTGAAGTCAGCCTGAAGTGTAAATGGTTTGAAATCCAGGATTAAATATGTGGCTTTTGATTAAGTCTTCGAATAATTTTTTAAAAATAGTTCATTATGTTGTAGCAATTTTAGACACCTTGTATTTTGTTGGTTTTTTAAAAAAATACTTTTAAAATGTAATGTTTTAAACATTTTTTGTTAATGTTTAATGTTTAAATGCCTTGTGTATGAAATGTGCTGTATCAATAAAGCTGCCTTGCCTTCCCTATATGGGGAATTCACAGTCTTCACTTTACCTCACAGGCTAACAAGTCCTGTTTTTGAAAAATGTAAACTCCACACAGGCTCGGGCCAAAATTCAAACTCGTGATCTCTCGTCTGTGAGGCAGACATGGTTCTCGGTCACCAAATATATGAAATTAGCAAAAAATATATGTATTTATAAGAATGTAGGCAAGTAATAGTTAATTATATATATATTTATAAGAATGTAGGCAAGTAATAGTTAACTAATGCCTTTAATAGAAGGCAATACGAGATGAGGAAAACAAGAAAAAGAAATGAGAGCCATGAGAGCTGGTGGGAGGGCCACAAGAATATTCAAACTCGTGATCTCTCGTCTGTGAGGCAGACATGGTTCTCGGTCACCAAATATATGAAATTAGCAAAAAATATATGTATTTATAAGAATGTAGGCAAGTAATAGTTAATTAATATATGTATGTTAAACTCATGAAGCGTGAAATAGAAGGCAATATGAGATGAGGAAAACAAGAAAAAGAAATGAGAGCCATGAGAGCTGGTGGGAGGGCCACAAGAATTTAAATTGCTTAATAAGTGTCACAGCATTTTCATTAGAGACAACCCAAGTTTCCTCCCATTGACTGTTTGTCTTTCTTTCCGAGCGGCCTGACCTGAGAGAAATTTCGACCTGAGGTGAGCAGATCTTCGGATGTTGGGTTCATTAATTTGTGCCACTCTTTTCATCTCAATCTCGAATTGTAATGGAAAGAACTACTTTCCATAAATGTAATGGTTTTTAAAATTTTCATACAAACCGATGTTAGTCCTCCGACATTGTGATTGCTTTTTGAAATGCTTTTCTCATGAGTAATATATTTTCTAGGATGCAATATGAAACACTTTGAAAGTCTGTAAGATAAAGAATAACACATCACATCTTGCCTTGGACATTTGGTTAAATTAAAATTAATGGTATTCACAAATGTTGAATCAAGGAACTGTGCCGCTCTTTTCATCTCAATCTCAAATTATAATGGGAAGAAAATACCTACTTTCCATAAATGTAATGGTTTTTATTTTTCATACAAACCGATGTTACTCCTCCGACAGTGTGATTGCTTCTTGAAATGTTTTTCTCATGAGTAATATATTTTCTAGGATGCAATATGAAACACTTTGAAAGCCTGTAAGATAAAGAATAACAAATCGTATCTTGCCTTGGACATTTGGTTAAATTATATGAATATATATAATTTTTTTCCCCTATAAATGGTAGTGTACAATTAAAAATGTTGCAAAACCAACATTCAAATTTCTGGTGAGAAAATACAACAAATTTGCGAAATAATTACCTCAGCGTGAAAAAATATGGTTTGATGAGAACAAGTTCGCAATAAATTTAAGAAAGACAAAATTAATGGTATTCACAAATGTTGAATCAAGGAATCAAATAAATATATCAAGGGAGTGTATAAATATACAGAAGTATAAATTAAATTACATTTCTTCGGGTAATGATTGACAACAACATTTGCTGGAAACCACACATACTGTATACTGTATACAACCTATCCAATGCAAACCTTCAAGAAGCATTTCTGTTCTGGCAAAAGCAAAGCTTGCACACAGTCAGAAATCATTCCACAATCTGTACTGTTTGCTGCAGTCACCATATTTAAATTACTGTGACAAATTTTTGGACTATATCATCACTTGTATGCATATTTTCCAAAAAAAAGAAATTTGAAGCTGCAGTCAACTAAAAACATTGATTTACAATAGCTCCGTTTTCACCAACAAGGCCAAGAATATTTTGTTCCTGGCAATTTAAATTTCTGGTAATGCACCTGTTGCTTAGATGGTTTGCATTTCCACGCAGCTCATAGTTCTTGGCAGAACATGCAAACGAGACTGCTGACGTATACAGGGGGCGGTGCTGTGTTGCTTTGTCGCTCATTACTGACACCTAACGACTCTTAAACATCATTGCAGTTTACAGAAAATCCTTGAGACGGTGACCTCTAAAGTTAGTTAGTGTATACGGTATATTGCGCGTCTTCAAACGTATTGGATGACTTTCAATTCTACAATCAACATTTCAATGTTGATTGTATATTATATATATTGTATATTGTATAAATTAAGTACTTCGAAAGCCACCCCCGGGAATCTCTTTATAGAGGGAAATCATTTAAAACAGTCAATTAAAAGGACAGAAAACTGTAAACACCTATGAGCAATTTCGAATATTTGCTAAACCTAACATACCCAGTACGTGGTTTTGGATTGTGGGAGTTGATCACAGCCGCTTCTGCTAATCTAGTTATTGAGCTATTGGAGTCACAAGACAGGAAACCCCGCAGTGCGCATGTTCCAAGAAATCCATGCAGGATGCATTGTGTGAATTATTTGAAGTCATTTGGTCTAATCAGGAGAAATTCAATTAATAAGCAACAGCAACCAAAAGCAGCTCTGCTCCAAGCCTTTGTTGGCATGATGAAGCTTAAATGTAGAGTGAATGCAATCTGAATGAACTCTGACATGTTTACAATAAATATGCTGATGGTTTAATAAACTCGTAAAATGTTGATGCTAATCTTATTTTTATGTGATTATTTTAAATAGTACTACATACAGGTTGGAGGCAAATGGATGCCTCATCACTCCTGAATTTGATGGAGTGCTGCGAAAACCTTTTGCATGTAAAACGGGTGCCTTGGCTCAATAAATATTGGGAAATAATGGTCTACTCTAGGTGTCAAAACAGCTTCCAAGCAGTACAAAAGTTTTCATGCTCACATTCTTCTAGTTTTTAAAAATTAATTTATTATTATTATTATGATTGTTATTATTATTATTA